CTCCCGGTCCCTACCACCGCTCGCATGACATCCCCCACTGTTGTTCCCAGCACCACTGTCCTCACCACCACTGCCCCCGCTGGTTCCATCACCGTCCCTATTGTCCCCACCAGTGCCCCCACCACTGTCGCACTGTCCCCACTGTTCCCACAACTGTTCCCACCACGGTTCCACTCTCCCCACTGTCTCCACGGACCCAACCACTGCCTATCCCCCCTGTCCCCACTGTCCCACTGACTCCTCCGCTGTCCCACTGAGCTGTCCCACTGTTCCCACCACTGTCCGCACTGTCCCCACCACTGTCCCCACTGTACCTCTGTCCCATTGTCCCACCGCCGTCCTCGCCACCGCCTTTACCAGTGTCCCCACCACCATTGTACCCTCCACTGTCCCAGCGTTTCCACCTCAGTCCCACTGTCCCCACACCACTGTCCCCACCACCACCGTTCCCACCACTGTCCACTGTCCCCCCTGTTCCCACCATTGTCCCCACCACTGTCCCCACCACTACCCTCCCCACCGCTGTCCCACTGTCCCCCCACTGTCCCCACCACTGTCCCGCTGTCCCCTCACCGCTGTCCCCACCAACACCGTCCCCACCACTGTCCGCACCCCCACTCGGTTTTCGAGGGGGGGGGGGTTCGAACCGGTAGTGACCCCCCCCCTTTTCATGATGAGCTGGGGGGGGGGGGGGAGGGGTTCGAACCGGTAATGACCCCCCCCGGTTTTCCGGAGGGGGGGGGGGGGGGGGGGTTCGAACCGGTTAGTGACCCCCCGGTTTTCCGCCAGCAGCGGTAGAACACGCTCTTTCTAATGTCGATGATGGTGACGATGAATATGTTGCTGCTGCTGCTGCTGCTGATGATGATGATGATGACGATGACGATGATGATGATGATGATGATGATGATGATGATGATGATGATGATGATGATGATGATGATGATGATGATGATGATGATGATGATGATGGTGGTAATGATACTGCTGACAATGCTGCGATGCTGACGATGCTGACGATGCTGATGCTGATGATGCTGATGTCGATGCTGATGATGCTGATGCTGATGCTGATGCTGCTGATGATGATGCTGCTGCTGATGATGATGCTGATGAGCGAGGAGTGAACGGGAGGAGGGGGAGGAGGATGAGCAGGAGAAGGAGAAGGAGGATGAGGAGGAGAAGGAGGGGGAGGAGGAGGAAGAGGAGGAGAAGGAGGAGGAGGGAGATGATGACGATGATGATGATGATGATGATGATGATGATGACGATGATGATGATGATGATGATGATGATGATGATGATGATGTGATGATGATGATGATGATGAGATGATGATGAGGACGATGCGTGACGATGACGATGATGATGATGATGATGTGATATGATGATGATGATGATGATATGATGATGATGATGATGATGATGATGATGATGATGCTGATGCCGGTGCTGCGGATGCTGATTATTGATAATTTGATGCGATGATGAGATGATGAGGAGGAGGTAGGAGGCGGAGGAGGAGGAGGAGGAAGGAGGAGGAGGAGGAGGGGGGGGAGGAGGGGAGGAGGAGGGGGAGGAGCGGAGGAGGAGGAGGAGGAGGAGGAGGAGGGGGAGCGAGGAGGGGAGGAGGCGGAGGAGAGGAGGAGGAGGAGCGAGGAGGGAGGAGAGGAGGAGGAGGAGGAGGAGGAGGCGGGGGGGCAGGAGGGGAGAGGAGGGGAGGAGGCGGAAGGGAGGAGAGGAGGAGGAGGAGGGGGAGGAGGGGGCAGAGGCGGAGAGGAGGAGGAGGAGGAGGAGGAGGAGGAGGAGGAGGAGGAGGAGGAGGAGGAAGGGGGGAGGAGGGGGAGGAGGCGGAGGAGGAGGGGAGGAGGAGGGAGGAGGAGGAGGGATGAGGGCAGTGGCAGAGTGCCACCGCGCGGGCGCAGGGCAGACACGCGAATCTGGGGCGAGAGGGATCGGGGCGACTACGCGCGTCGCGTCTGTCGAGGATGGAGCGCCCTTCCTCCCTCCTCCTCCATCCTTCCTCCATCCTCCGCATCCTCCTCCTCCTCCCGCCCCCATACCCTCACCCTCCTCCCCTTTCCCACTTCCCCCCCTCCTCCACCTTTCCTCCACCTCCTACCCCTCCCCCTCCTCCACTGCTACGAAAAGAAGACAAGTCAAGAGGGTAGAACCACGACCATCGCAGAAACGGGCGCAACGGTGCTAACCAACCAACCGTCAAGAAGCTACGACGGCGAGGGCCCAGGGATCACCAAACAGCTCGCCGCCTGGGTCCCCCCAACCAACCCAAACGGCGAGCATATGTCGGGCGTAGCCGCGTCGAAATTGTCAGGTCCGCCCAGTATGGGCTCTCTCGGTCTGGTCGCCGTCGGCTTCGGCCACCAGGAATAGAACGGCCTCCGACTGGTTTCGCCATGCTTCGCCGTAGGTTGCGCTCTCGGCCGCCAGGAGTGAATAAACAACCTGCTGCTATCGGTTGCGCAACAAGTTGCGAGCTCGGCCGCCAGGAATACAACGGCCTACTATTGATTGCGCTGTGGGTTGTGCACTCGGCAGCCGAGATCAAAACGGCCTGCCAATGCTTGCGCCACAAGTTGCGCGCCTGTCCGCCAGGAACAAAAACGGCCTCCTACTGGTTGCGACCTAGGTTATGCTATCGGCCGCCGGTGATACAATAAGTTGCGCGCACGACCTCCGGGAATCAAACGGCCTGCTATGTTTTGCTCTGTAGGTTGCACACTCGGCAGTCGGTGAAAAAAGCAGACGGCTAGTGGCTGCGCCATGACACGGTGGCCTGCTCCTGGTTGCACCATACGTTTCGCACTCGGCCGCCGAGAACAACAAGGCATGCTATTGGTTGCGCCGTACGTTGTGCGTGCAACGGGCGGAAATCACAAGACAGCTCGCCGTTTGGGCCCCATCACCAGCCAAAACGGCGAGCATCAATAGGGCGTGGCCCCGTAGAAACTGCCAGGGATGTGTGCCACACATGTGGCGTGCCATGGGTTGCGCGGTCCATGTGTAACACCATGGGTTGCGCTATAGTTTGCGTGACCATGGGGTGCGTGATCCATGGGTTGCGCCGTCGATTGCGAGTTGCATGGGTTGCTCCGTTGCGCCATGGCTTTCGCCATCCCTGGGTTGTGTGGGTTTCGCGATCCATGTTGCGCCATGCATGGGTTGCGCAGGTTGCGCCAATGCTTGGGCAATAGGTCGCGCCATCCGCAGGGCGCGGCCTGCTAGTGGTTGCGACGAAAATTGCACAGTCGGCCGCCGAGAACAAAACGGTCGGCAATTGGTTGCGCCATAGGTTGCGCACTCGGCAGCCGAGACTAAACAGCCTGCTTTTGATTGCTCCATTGGCCGCGCACTCAGCCAGCGTGAGGAAAACGGCCCGCTGTTGCTTGCGCACTCGGCCGCCGAGATCAACAAGCATGCTGTTGGTTGCGCGATCGGCGGCCAAAAACAAATAGGCCGGCAGTTGGCTGCTCCATAGGCTGCGTACTCGGCGGCCGAGACTAAAAACCAGCCTGCTACCGGTTGCGCCACGGGATGCGCAAGCAGCGGGCTAGAATAGCACGGCTTGCTAGTGGCTGCGCCGTAGGTTGCGCGCTCGGCAGTCTGGAAGTCAGCAGCCTCCTACTGAAGGCGCCACGGGCTGCGCGCGCGGCCGCCCCAGAAGAAAGAGGGCTGCTGTTGACTGCGCAATAGTTGTGCACCCGGCAAACAGCGAACACTACGACCTGCTGCTGCTGGTGGCGCCAAAGGTTGCGCGCGCGAAGGCCGACCATAAAACGTCCGACTGACTGGTGCCACCAATCCAGTCCAATCAGTCAAGTCAATCATGCCAATTTTGCGAGGCAGTCTAATCAGTTCCGTCAGTCAACACAAGCAATCAACCTCGCGAAAAAAACGGCAGTACGCCCGACATGACACGGCCGCCTAGAGGGCGCGAGCAATCCAATCACGCCCGAACGCCCGAACGCAGCCTGGGTCGATTGTCGACAGAAGAGAAGGCCCAAAAGCGCCCCAAGAACTAAGTCGGCCCAGAGAGGCCCCCAAGACGGCGTTCGATGGCTTCAGACGGGCCAGGAACGCCCAAGACGAGCGGAAATTGCACAACTCCCGCCCCAAAAGGAAGCCTCCAAGAGGCCCCTCACAGGCCCCTAGGAGGCGCCTGGGAGGCCCCACGAGTGCCCCAAAAGCTCCCAAGAGGCCTCCTCCTTACCCTCCTCTTTCCATCCCTCTCGTCCTCTTCCTCTCCCTCTCCCAAGTGTTCCCCGAAGGGTTCCCACAACCGTTGGGGGACACGCAGTCTGATATCGTTGCCGAGCTCTGGACAATGTTCGGCCACATATGCGCTTCTAAACGGCAAGTGGCGGCAGTGATTTGCCGTAGGCGGCTTCGATCATATTCGCGTAGCTTGGTTATCCACTCTAGCTTTCAACGTTTTCTACTTGTTCCACTTGCGTCGAATATCCTTACATGTTCGGGCACGCAGTACAACTGAAGAAGCAGCAGGTTTAAATCAAGCGCCGCTGCATTATCAGGGATATATATATATATATATAGTCGGCGCAATACTAATTCTCCTGGAACAGATATACAAACACATTAAAATCACGCTTTTACATTGGATTATTGCCCTTTTGATTTTCGGATGCCCTTGCGAAATCACTTTTCGTCTGCATCCAACTGGAGCGCGTTTGTCCAATTCATCTTCGTGCGTGCAACGTGCAACGCCAAATCCGCGAGACGTTCGTCATCGAACGCGTTCTGCTCAAGGTGGTCGCGCAACTTCTGGCGGTTCTCAGCGTACTTACGAACGTTCTGCTCGTTGGACCAATGGAGCACCCCCCGCCATAGCCGGTTCTGTTGCGGCGCCTGATAAATCATCTCCCAGTAGAAGGGACTCGCATCGAATGCTAGCCCAAGCTGTGTAAGCGTCTGGGCGTTACCAAGCTGATCACCGTGCATCGGAGTCGCGACGAGGGGATGTCCTACGGCGAGGGCCTCCAGAGCGCTTCCCATCCCGCAATGCGAGACGAACACCAACTTTTTCTGACACGAAAACAACACCGACTCGGGAACGAAAGCTGGCTCCACACGGAAATTGGGGTGATGCCTCTCGAGCGCTGCTTTCTTGTCCGCCGAGAAGCTGCCAACATGGAAGTTGAGGCGGAAGACGATGTAAAACTGGTCCGGCGACAGCCACTTCAGGTCCGCCGCCATGTACTCGAGGTTCTCCCACGAGACGTGCAGGCGCGCCGCCGTTCCGAGCGAGACATACACCACGGTTCTTCCGCCCGCACGGGCCGCCACGTCCCGGACCCATGCCTCTCGGGCGGGTGGTAACCGGGGGGGTGGCCCACACGGGGGGCGCAGAGCAGGGGCCTGCGAGGGGCCCTTCGGGGCTGCTTCGGGGCACCCCCCTGGCCCCGCAAGGGGCCCTCGAGAGGGCCGCCCCTTTAGGGCCCTCGTCCTTCGCCCCCCCCCATCTGGGCCACCCCCCTTACAGTCGGGGCGTTGACCTGAGGAACCCTAAACAAGGAACGAGGCCCTTTTTTTCCATAAGTCAAGCTTCGACTTCCCATCGAAAACATGAGGAACACCTGAGGCAAGCTGTGAAAAACACTTACGGAACGCGGAGCCCCTCCCCAACGAAAAGGGTTCCCTCTTCAGCGCCCCGACTGTACCACCCGCCCGGGCCTCTCGGCATGGGCCGCCTGTCCACGCGCCCGCCAGGTCCGTGAGCCACGTGCTCCAGGTCACGGCTCCGTCGCGACCGCTGGCGCCGGCCGCCCCCCCACCCGGCACGTAGCGGTAGGGAACGACGCGCGGGGCCCGCGCCTCCATGAGAGCCTGCCTCTCGGGGTCTCCAGCGCTCCCAGCGGGGTAGCGCCCATCCCTCACGCAGCAGGTGCTGTGCAGATGAAATCCTGAATCCGCATACATCGTGGCCATGTACGGGTTGTTCTTGGAGGAATCGCCGCATCCCGCCTTCCCGGCGACATAGCGGTGGCCGGCCGCACAGAATGCCAGTTCCCGAAACGAGCAGCAATCGCTCTTCCTCTTCACAATATTCCAGTCCATGTCCAACTGCAAACAGGCCTCTGCGGCACATGCTGTGTTTTGCGCAATATCTGGAACTGGGTGAATGGACTCCTTGGGGAGCACGGGAAGGTTTTGCGGGTAGTGCGGAAACAGAAAGGTTCCCCCACCGAATCGCGTTGCAGAAAGCTCCTCATCTCGACGCAAATCTCCGAGGTCTCCATTCAAGTTGGCAGTCAAAGTTGGGACAAAATGCATATAGTCTTGCGCTCCCTTGAAAATCTCTGCACCAAACCACAGGAACAAGACACCTGTACTAAACTTGTCCTGTCCTGGATGAGAACGAAACGTTCCATCGTTTCCGTGCCATACGGCCATTGCCGTAGTCATCGGATTGAACTTCCGGGTCGCATAGAGCCCGAACGGCGACAAGTAGTCGCTTATCCAAAAGTCGACTTCGCCGATTACAGTGTCCACTTGTTTGTCGGTCCAGCTCATCATTTCGGAAGACATTTCGAACACTTCTGGAGGAATCGGTGGTCCGAGAGCTTTCTTCACAGACTTGGCCAGATATAATGGAACAGTCGAGCTATCAGAAAACGAAGTCGTGTGTATCCACATTTGATGGCTTTCGTCAATACCTTTTTTCTGCTGGTCCTCCCACAGCGTGATATCGCCAGTCCGCCAGACCCCTTGCGGGACCACCAGGCTTCGCACGTGAAATGTCCCCAACGAGCTCCCCCTGTGGATCTGGAAGCTTCCTGCAAGTTGTGCGCTGCTGAGCTCTGCTGTGCAAATGGCTGCGCACACGCGCGATTGCATACACAAATCCGAGAGGACGCCAGGGTACCCTAGACCAGGGCGGCGACCTCCCCTGCGGCGCGACGCGCTCAGACCGCCGCGGTCCAAGCCACGGACACCCGCGGAAACCACAGGACGCAAGGGTACCCTGCCCCTGGGCTGCAGAGGACACGACGCGCGATGCACAGGACACAAGAATACCCTGGATTTGGCAGGGCCGACCTACTAATCCGGCTCGACCGTATGCATTCTAACACGGAGCGGCTGCCGACGCGCGCACATCCGCAGCAGATGCGACAAGTGCACGTCGGTGCCTCACGCGCGACCGTCCCTGGCACCAGACGATGTGGGGCAGGAGGAGGTGGAGGAGGAGGAGGAGGAGGAGGAGGAGGAGGAGGAGGAAGAGGAGGAGGAGGAGGAGAGGAGGGGGAGGGGGAGTAGGGGGAGGAGGAGGAGGAGGAGGAGGAGGAGGGGGAGGGGGAGGAGGAGGAGGAGGAGGAGGAGGAGGAGGAGGAGGAGGAGGAGGAGAAGGAGGAGGAGGAGGAGGAGGAGGAGGAGGAGGAGGAGGAGGAACTGGAACTGGAACTGGACAGACGCGAAGCGTCACAACAAGGGCCACATTACTCCTTGGGCTTTAAGCCCCTGGAGAGACGATCTAAAATCTCCCGCCTCTTGGGCGTCAAATTGGCTGTAGAGCATACCTTACCTAGGTCCCGAATCTGATCGGTACCGAATCGAGAGCAGACTCTGCAGAACCAATAACCACTGGCGGAATGAAAATACATTCGGTGCGAATGATGCGCAAAGGACCCCCCGATGTGTACAGCCCCTGACCCTGGGGCCGCCTTGAAGAGCCCCCCGCCCACGGCCTGAGGCGGACAGCACGGCGTTCTGAGCCATGCCGTCCGTGTCCCTCGGCTCGCCGCCGAGAAGCAGTTGGTACACCTCCTGCCCTCGGGATCGACACGATGGGACGACCCGAAGAGGGCGACGGCGGCGGGCGACGGCGGCGGCAAGGGGCGAGGGGGAGGGGGAGGAGGAGGGGAGGAAGAGGCAGCAGCATCAGCATTGGATGGAGGCGGTCTCTCGGGCTTTCTGTTCGTCACTGCCATAACGTCCAGGGTTGCCCTCATTAGCCGCTTCCGTACAAGACTGGCTGTACTCTCTACCTTCAAAATCCTCGCACGAACACCCTCTGAAAGGCGGGCCTCCAAAGCGCTCGCACCCGCGAGCTCGTCCACTACAGTGTTCCCGATCAAGAAGTGCTGGGGGATGCCTCTTCTTTTGGCTTCGACAAGGTCCAAATGCGACGGCATCCACAGAACAGCAATTTCATGATGAGGACGCTTCTGCTCAGCTAATAAGGCCCCGATGGATCTCCAAGTGGATGCCATCTCACCCGAGGGATTCTTGAACTTCCGAGCCCACCACCCGTTCACCACCTCCTCATTGTCAGCCACGTAGACAACAGGCCCACAGGTGTATCTGATGGTAAGTTCTAGAGCGGCCAGTTCACCCCGAGGAACAGTTTGACGAGGGCCCACCAAAGGCCCTGAAATAGCTGAACCAATAACAGGCGGTGAAAAACTCGACATTGTTGCCACAGCTAAACCAACACGTCTAAACAAGGGATTCTTGGTATCTGGGCCCCCCGACGCATCCCCGAAGACAAGAACAGGGTCATCGTCCTGCCCGACACCTAGACACCCTGGACTCAAGGTGGAATCGTTGATACCATAAGCCTTCCATTTCACTTCATCGGGAGGTGGGTCAACCTGCAGCCAGCTTGCAGGAATCACCCCCCTCAGCCAAAAACAGGCGAACATTTCGCTCTGAGCAACTGCCTGAGCGCATAACTTATCCGAGGCTTCGTAAATACTATGCCCCGTGTTGCACTCACAAAGCCACGCACGATGCAGGGGGTCCTCCCGAACCTTCTTACACCTCGGGCATAAATCATCGGTAATCAAACCCTCATCCTTACGCCGAGATTGTGGCCATGAGCCCCCTACAGCGATATTGACCAAAACTTCTGACAGTTGGCGCCCTCTGCGCACCTGCTGCAACTCGTGCACGAGCCTGCGCAGAGATACGTTGTTGGCTCCACCTTCAAGGCCTGCGCCGCAAAAGTGAGATGCTGCCTGGCGCCATAGGTGAGCAGACTGATCACGCTCAAACTCGGCAAGCAAATCAACAGCCTGATCCATCCCAACCAACTTATCCTCACTGAACTGCCATTCCCGCACCGTACCATCCCCCGTACTAGGAACCTCCCAGACGTCAGGCGCGCGGGGGACCCAACCTACCTGCAGCAAATGAGCAATGGTGGCAGAGAGGGGTCCACGTATATGCCTAGCATATTCAGTGGGACCGAGGTTCTGAAACTTGGACAAAACTTGCGGCCAGGCACGACGAATACCAGCTCGTACTTGCGGCTCCGCTATCCAAATGCGAAGCCATTCACGAATGCAATAGACTGGGAGACGAATCCCTGGGTCAAAGCCAGGGGTCCTTATGTCCAACAAGGTGGTTAAGCAACGCCCCTTTTTGGCCGCCCCCGAGACCGCTCCAAGACGCCTCCGAAGTCCCAAAAGCTGAGTCCCGAAAACGCCGTAGATCTGCATCCCGTAAGTAGAGGCCGCCTGCGGCCCTCCCAACTCCACCTTCTTGGTCACCTGGTACCGCTTCGAAGCCCAAGCAAACCTCCTGAGTTTGGCGTTCTGAGCGTTCCCTTTGATAACACGCTGCCTCCGAGTAGCCCGTGCTGGGCGCTTTCCAACTCCTTGGTCGACCCCCAGATAAGCAGCCTGAAGCACCGGTTTAATCGGGATGTCCAACTTTTTCAAACGAGCAGAAACCTGGCGAGCAACGCGGTGACTGGAGCACAAAACCACACTCTTGTCTGCCAGCGTGAGCTGCTCTGCCCGAAAGAAGTCGTGAGCATCTCGAACGCACGCTTGAAGTTCCGAACTCACTGCCCTCTCTGAACCTACGACCGAACCGTCGAGGTCATCGATCCCAAGACGCTGGCTCATACCCACATGTGCTATACTCATCTTGCGCATGGCGAAAAAGGTGACACACCGAGCGAACCTGGTTCCGTTCCTGAGCCCCTGCACCACGCTCCGAGTGGGCTGAAAGGCCCTCGAGTGCGCTCCAAGCTGCGAGACCAACCTAGGCGCCAAGCAAGTCTGCAACTCCAGACATAACAGCACAGGCGGATACCCTAATCGCAAAGCTGCCGAGATGAGACGCGGCCACTGGATATGATCATAGAAACTCTTGATGTCTAGGATGGTCTGCCCCACCGTGGCCCCCAACTGCACAGCCACCTCGGAATTCAACACCCTGAGATAAGCCTCCCTGAAAGCGCTATTCCCCACAATGGCAGCATCCCAGGATGACACCAGCGACTCAGACCATTCACGAGCGCACGGCTCTCTAGCAAGGCTCCAGATACGGCAAAACATCGCGATGAGCCCTATCACCCTGTCCCCTCCGGACTTCTTCGCCAACAACCTCCCCACCACTAGCATAGTCTGCCATGGCCATGTCTTGCGCTCTTCTATGGCGGCGTACAAAGAACACAGCTCTGCAATCGCAACATCAGGCAACCTCTCGAAGTCGAGTGGAGAAAGACGATCGATACCCATCCCCGCCTTACCCTTCATCTTCCTGAGGGCCCCCCTGACGTCGTCGACAGTGAGAGGAGGAAGTGGGTCATAGTCTGCAGCAGCCTTGATGGTGCCAAGAAGATTCTCCAAGTCGTTCACATCTAGAGTATCAGCGGACCACAACTGCTGCCAATGTTCTACCTTCGAATCGATGATGTCCTTTGGATTAAAGACCCTCTCCCCCTTGATAACAAATTCCTCGGCAGCGTGCGGGGCCTTGCGCAGGGACTTAAATGCTGCACCTGGGGAGCTTTCCTCGACGATCCACCCCTGAAATCTTTTCAGAGACGCGTGCACCGCACGCCCACGGGCCCTCTTTGAGGCCTTCTCCGAAAGAACCTTCAAGGCTTCCAAAGTCCCAAGGTCCAAAACGCCCAGGTCCCCTAAAAAAACGACCCACTGGCCCCAACTGAAAGCTCCCTTACCAGTCGGAAGAACCACGTGAACGCCTTCAGGGAGATCCTCCAGCAGAACTTTCCCCACTGCACAAAGCTGAGCAACCTGCTGACTACCGTTATCACGTACCCTATGCCGATGGAGCCGAAGCAGCACCACATGGGCCCGTGCCCACCAGCTAGCCAAAGAATCAGCGAGAGGTTGCGACCTAACATGTTCTGGCCTCTGAACTGCCTCGACAACTAACACTGGCCCCTGAGCTCGTGACCGACCGACCTGCTTTTTGCCGTGCTGAGATAGGATGGCACTCTCCGCTGCTTGCACCCATGCCCCGAACATGTTGCTAACAGGGATGACGTCGTCCCCTCCCATACGGTAGGCTAAAGACGATGCAATGGCAGGCCAAACGTCTTCATGAGACTGCTCCAGAGATCCCACTTGTGCCCGATGCTGCTCCCACACTTCTGCTGGTATGGCATAGGGGCAGAGGGAGGGGGAAGACTGCTTAAAGTCATCGGCGGCCCCAGGGGTGTCAGAGCTAACACATGGCACTTCGGGATCCTTTTCCGCAGAGACACTCACATGACTGGCCCTAGGGACAAAACTTGATTCGTCGGCCCACGGATCCTCCTCTTCTGGGAAATCTTCGGGCTCTCCGAAAGCAAAGGGATCCTCGGGCTCTGTGAGAGGCTCCTGAGTAGATTCACCGTCACTACCTACATTAGACTCAACATTCTGCTTGGCCTGGTGCCCTACAACGTCCCCAAAGAAATCCTCACACGCAGCCTGAAACTTAGACGAGAAGGCCTCGCGCGCTTCAC